TAATCGAAGAAGCATTTTATCGTGATGTAGCTTGGGTATTGTGTGGAGCTGTAAGTAAAGAGATGCTTCTAGAAATACAGCCTGAATTAGACACTGATGCTCTCCAGCCAGTTGGATCATGGACAAACTTCATGAAAGCTGTAACAGATTGCACTACAAGAAGGTGCAAACTAGAATATCTTCCTGTTATTCCTTTTCCTCCACATGATAACGTCGTCAAATGGTATATGGACATGATTCAGAAGATGCTTGATCAGCTAGAAATAGATCATATTTTTCTTCATGCAGATCAAGCAATTCATTCAAAAGTTCTTATCATTCAATGGCTAAACCAAGGGAAATACGATCAAATCATTACCTTCTTGGGCGGCTTCCACACGATAATGGTCAATTTGAAGATCCTTGGAAAGAAGTATTCTTGTCTCGGACTCAAGGAATGGTGGATAGAAGCCGATGTGATAGCTCAAGGGTCTGCTGATCAAGCAATGGAGGGAAGGCATTACCATAGAAGCATAAGGCTACACAAACAGGCTTTTGAAGCCTTGCTTCGCTATCGAATGAAGGGTGTTCTGAACAAAGGTGTATTCACTCCAGGATTCAAAAGGCAAATTGTAAATTTGAGACTTGTCCAATCAACCGCCAATTTAAAGTCAATAACTAATTCACCAGAATTCAAACAGATGATAAACAATTTAACAGATGTCTTTGGCACACAAGCTCAAATGATGATGCAATACATTCGCGATGTCTCGGCTATGCTATGCTTCGTCAGTGCTGTAAGAGAAAATACAATTGAGCGCCATTTAGCAGCAGAGCGTGTTTTGTTGCCAAAGTGTTTTGCATTTGGGCATCAAAACTATGCCCGTTATCTTACATTTCAACATGTCAAGCTGCAGGATATTAGATCAAAGCAAGAAGGAGCATGGAATGACCTTCTGGTTAATGGCTTTGGTGGTTCAGTCTCTGGCAAACCATACTCGACTATCCATGGTGACTTGATAACCGAAACAACCATTAACAGAGAGGTAAAAGTCAGAGGGGGTCCAATGCAAGGTGGATTTAGCACCGATGAGAAGGCTGTTGATACCTTTGTAAAGACCAGTCATTTCATGGCTACTGTTCGAGCCAAACTGAAAGAACGATTGGATGTTTTGACGCAGTCCGTTCACAAAGAAACAACTATTGGTGCGATAAAGAAGCACGAGGCAATGATCGAAGGTCTTGTTTTGCAGCTTGATAAGTATTTTGATCCATTTCTAGATGGTCCTGCAAGACATTTCAAAACTGGAGCCGAAATCGAGCCATCGGTCATTGAGGGACTTCTGAATTCATCTGCAGTAGGAGAAGCAATGTATGCTGAGTTTATTGACGAAAGACTCAAAGCCAAAGAAAATAGGGTTAGTATATTTGCATCAATAAAAAAATCCTAGGATCAAAACTGGCATGGAGCGGGCAAAAAAGATTCCCAAAGCCATAAGCATTCTCAAGGAGGACAGGCAAGCCTTTGGATCACTCGTTGGTAAGGCTACAAGTCCAAGAGACGCACACTCTTATCCTCTTACAACTGTTCCACTAGCTTTAGCATCACCTGACAGTGATCTCAGACAAGGCTGCAAAGCTGCATTACGAAATTTTCTGATAGAAGAATCTTTAGCAGAAGTGCAAACACCTTTGTCTAAAGCAGCATGGTTAGTTGACGGCATGGCTGCAGTAAGGTCAATCAAAAGTAAACCTACTTGGGGAGAGTACGCAAAGGCATACTTCAGATTCTGCACACCTGCAGCCTCTTATCAAGCACATTCAATTGCTGTGATATTCGATAATTACACACAGGAGACAACAAAACAACTTACCCAGCGTCGCCGCGGGCACTCTGGCAAAAGAGTGTTCATTACAAGTCAAGAGCAAAGTATGCCACCACGAAAGGATTGGGACACTTTCCTCCACAACGCAGAGAATAAAACAGAGCTAATACGTTTCTTGGTAAATTACGCCAAAAACCACAAAGGCATGTTCAAAATACCACTTCAAATAACAGAAAATGAAAAGACATGGCTAATTTCTAATGATAACTTCACAGAACTTGAAGACAGCAACCACCGTGAAGCTGATACCCGCTTGATCCTAGAGGCAGATAAATTAGATGCACCTGTGATCGTACATGCTACAGACACTGATGTCTTAGTGTTAATGGTTCATGCCTTTCCAACACGGGTTTTTGAACAGAAGTGGCAAATGAAGATAGGACATGAAAGATTCATAAATATCGAGTCAATTTGTGTAAATATCGGCACAGAAGCTTGTGCTATTTTGCCAGCATACCACAGCATCACTGGTTGTGATACGACGTCTTTTCCATTTGGAATTGGAAAATTAAAGCCATGGAAAAAGATGGTAAAATTGAAATGCCTTAACCTGCTGAACAATTTTGGTTCCACTCTGGCTTCCATCGGATTTTTGTCTTGTGCAAAAGAGTTCTTTCGAACTGTCATGTACGGAGGCAACAAAGGTGAATGCCATGTTGACACAAGAATTCGAATGTACGAAAGGCAGAAAGTCAAGTCAAGTTTGGGAATAATTCCTGATGAGAACAGTACAACCCAACATTTAAAGCGAAGTTGTCTCCAGGCTTACATATGGCATCAATGCACACAGCAGATGATTAACTATCCTCCATTAACTGAAGCATGGGGATGGAAAGAAGAGGAAACGGGGATAGTCCCAATTTGGTATACGTGCAGCCAGTTTCCCCCAAATAACAACCAGTCGGACACTGAGAGTAGTGATGATGGAGCAGAAGTTGTTGGTGGAAGTCAAAACAGTGAAGCAGAAAGCACAGATAATAGTGAATATGACTTCGATGCTGACTCAGATGGAAGTGAGGATGAATTTTAGTTTTCAGCATTTAAATTTATGATTGAGTTGGACTATAATAAAACCTTCAAATTTTTCAAATTTCGGTATGATTTTTTGCCATTTCATTATGTGAAATTGGATTTTTTTATTTCATAGAGCCCTATCCTTACTTGTGGGACTCTGTCGTTACATTTGTTTATCTTTTATAAGGTTTCTGACCACAGTAACTTTGTTGGTATGGAGCGAAGCGCCAAAGTTGTTGATTTCTTTTTAGTTCTACCTCCTTAAGAGCACCATTTTGAATTTTTGATGATCATTCATGGCAACAAACATGTTTATGACGTAATAGGACACTTTGATGCCAAGTAATGCTTTTCTTAGAAGATTAAATCGGAGCATTATGGCCAAAACAGTGTAAAAAGTCCGCCATTTTGAAAAATTCCGCCATTTTGAATTTTTCGGCAAATTTCAACATGCCCCAAGTCTTAATCTTTTCCAAAATGTTTCTTGGCAAGGAATCCGAAGAGAAAACCTTGACAGGAAAAAAGGCCTAATTTTTCCAGCAAATGACCTGTCTATAATAGATAAGCCAGTTTCTCGTGTGGTAGAAATCATTTGTGCGTTACAAGGTTTTTGTGCTGAATTTATTCAGAAGTTGCTGAAAATTAATAGCTTTATCTCCTATAGGAAAGTTTAGGCCTAAACATTACGCAGTGTAATCTTTTGGTGTTCAGGATCCAACATCAAGCTTTTCCTTGTTTTGTTTAATGATGTTCTTAACTTTATATTGCTCAAAGATTTTTCAGCATATTAAAGATTTAGAGACAAAATCATGATGTAGATTTAGACTAGATAGTTTAGACTTTCTGATCGTATCTCAAAAGTTATTTTTGTGTACTAAGCTAAAATGATAGAATATTTATATTGATAATCCCAATACAAATGCGAATTCTTCTTTTAAAATAGTTATACGGCGTATCAAGGGTGGGTGAATGGATCTTTCCAGCTTCTATTCAGCTTCGTTTAAACATATGATGGTAGTGTCTTTGTTTGAATTAAGATAATTTAGTATCAAATCTTTGAAATTTGTTTCATGTGTTTCAGAGCTCCATCTGTGTTATTATCACCATAGGCCTCATAAATGAGTAAGACAGTCTATAAATGAGGGTACTCGTTGTAACTGGCGGCACTAAGGGGTTTCTGTGGGAGGGTACTCGCTGTAACTGGCGGCACTAAGAGGTTTCTGTGGGAGGGTACTCGCTTTCACTGGCGGCACTAAGGGGTTTCTGTGGGAGGGTACTCGCTGTCACTGGCGGAACCAAGGAGTTCCTGTGGGAGGGTACTCGCTGTCACTGGCGGCACCAAGGGGTTTCTGTGGGAGGGTACTCGCTTTCACTGGCGGCACTAAGGGGTTTCTGTGGGAGGGTACTCGCTGTCACTGGCGGAACCAAGGAGTTCCTGTGGGAGGGTACTCGCTGTCACTGGCGGGCAGCCAAGGGGTTTCTGTGGGAGGGCTACTCGCTGTAACTGGGCGGCATTAAAGGTTTCTGTGGGGGGGCTACTCGCTTTCACGGCGGCACTAAGCGGGTTTCTGTGGGAGGGTACTCGCTGTTCACTGGCGGAACAAGGAGTTCCTGTGGGAGGGTACTCGCTGTCACTGGCGGCACCAAGGGGTTTCTGTGGGAGGGTACTCGCTTTCACTGGCGGCACTAAGGGGTTTCTGTGGGAGGGTACTCGCTGTCACTGGCGGCACGAAGGGGTTTCTGTGGGAGGGTACTCGCTGTCACTGGCGGCACCAAGGGGTTTCTGTGGGAGGGTACTCGCTTTCACTGGCGGCACTAAGGGGTTTCTGTGGGAGGGTACTAGCTGTCACTGGCGGCACTAAGGGGTTTCTGTGGGAGGGTACTCGCTGTCATTGGCGGCACTAAGGGGTTTCTGTGGGAGGGTACTCGCTGTAACTGGCGACACTAAGGGGTTTCTGTGGGAGGGTACTCGCTGTCACTGGCGGCACTAAGGGGTTTCTGTGGGAGGGTACTCGCTGTCACTGGCGGCACTAAGGGGTTTCTGTGGGAGGGTACTCGCTGTCACTGGCGGCACCAAGGGGTTTCTGTGGGAGGGTACTCGCTGTAACTGGCAGCACTAATGGGTTTCTGTGGGAGGGTACTCGCTGTAACTGGCAGCACCAAGGGGTTTCTGTGGGAGGGTACTCGCTGTCACTGGCGGAACCAAGGAGTTCCTGTGGGAGGGTAATCGCTGTCACTGGCGGCACCAAGGGGTTTCTGTGGGAGGGTACTCGATGTCACTTGCGGCACCAAGGGGTTTCGGGGGAGTGATTGCTGCCATTGCTCATGGCTCACTAATGCTTCTAACAATGGATAGAATTTTAATTACTTTGGGTAGGTGATATTTTCTGATTAAGAGTGGAATCATGCAAAGTCTGTTATCAAATCTGTGGTCTTAAGTATTTTTCGGCCTACACCTATCGCTCGCTCTTCCCGCCCTTGGGCAGCTTTTGGTGCCACTGCTTCAAGCACCTTGGTGCGTATGAAAAAGTAAGTTCTAAATTGCCACTGTATATTCAACTTTATTGGAATGATCTTACAACTAACAATAATTATTGTTGGTAATAACTAGTTTTCCCGTGTCTCTTAGTTCTAATCTAGACTAAACTAGTTGAGTTCTGAACTAAAGGTTCCAATTGGGTATGTTCCTTGCACTGCCTATTAGACCCTAGGACTGTATCCCTTACTTCAGTCGGTTTCTCTTGTTGGCACTTTGATAACTGAATACTTTCCAATGATTCATGTTGGTGGTCAACTCAATTGGCGCTGGATTTAGATTTGAAAATAGGGAAAGGCTCTGTTTGATCCATAATCCTCCACTTTTATGTAATTCCCCTCTATATTATCTGGTCGACTGGTGCACTGCGATTGAAGAATATTTTGCGTTTGAGACAATAGATGCTGCAGAAGCTATAAACGAACAGGTTAACGTTTAGAATCAGGTGCTATACTGTAAATCGATTAGATCAGATAACTTGTTATAGATGCTGTAATTATTTGGCTATTGCTTAATGTTTTATGGGAAATTTCGAACAGTATTTCGCAACGATATTCGCAAGAAATAACTTAGGACAGCCGCCAATGCGTACTCATCTTTAAGGTTCTTGCTTCGTATCATTGCCAGCAGAACTAGTAATATAGACCATTCTTTGAAATATATGACACTAGTGGCGGAAATACATTTTTAGGTGGGGGGGGGCAAAAAGAAGCACCAATACCCCCCACCCACGCATTTTCCGCCACTGTATGACATTAAAAAGCTCTAAAAGTGGAACAGTGTTAAATACAGGGAGGGCTGCAATACTCTAAAACCAAATCAAATCTAAGAGAAGTATTGCGAGGGAGTGCGTTGTGCATAAACGACTGGACTTAATTAACCTTCATGTCCCAAAACCAGAGATCAGCTTGTCAGAGCGGTCAAAATGTATCACCTATTCTATTATTTTCTAAAAGATATACTTTGATAACGGGCTCCGACACCGGTTGGAAAGTAGGGGGCAAGGGAAAATTTAACACCCATAACAAAAGATTTTTAAGAAAGAAAGCTCTATTGTTTTACAAAAATGTGCGGTGGTCATGGCCCCTCCGGCCCCCCTTCGTCGGAGGCCCTGCTGATACCCTGAAAATGCAAACTCATCGTGAGCAAATGTAAACTAGAAAATTTTTTTCAACCTCGTTTCAAGTCTGAGAATGATTGATCGGCTGGCTTGTTT